ACAGGGAATGGACGTCCGAGCGATGGCCAGTCACAGCACTGCGTTGTCATGTTTCCTCATCGAGGCTGCGGCCTCCACCTCGACGCCCTAGCCGGCGCGCGCGAGCGCCCGCGCGGGGCGCGCGCGGATGTGGGGTTCGCTCGCCCGCTCGCCCCCATTCCTTCCTTCCCCGACCCCTTTTTCTCCCCCTGCTGCTGCTTCTCCTTCTCCTGCATCCCACGTCTCCCTCCTCTCCCTCTGCCTTCTCGTCCTCTTCCTCCTCCCTCCTCCCTCTGCTTCTCCCCCCTCCGCACCCGCCGTCCCACAGTATCCGCCTGCCCGTCCTGTGAATCCTCCTACTCCTCTTCCTCTTCCTCCTCCTCCGCACAACTCATCTCCCTTGCCCATTTCTCCTCCTCGGTTCAGGGTGGAGCAGGAGCACCCAAGGGGATGAACGAAAGGGGGAGGGAGGAGGACGGCGGGGAGAAGAAGAGGATGACACAGAGGGCCCCGAACCTGGCACCCGAAGGCTGCAGCCTGGGCCTCCTCTGCAGCCTGGGCCTGCGCTCGAGCGGCGCACCTCTGAGGAGGAGGAGGGGGAGGAGGAGGAGGAGGGGGAGGAGGAGGAGGAGGAGGAGGAGGAGGAGGAGGAGGAGGAGGAGGGAGGAGGAGGAGGAGGGGGGCACAGCCCTTGGGGGCGGGTCTCGGAGCCTCGGCGGCCCCGCCCCCCCCCTTCCCTGGGATGCCGCGGTTTGCCCGTGGGGCGGCCGCGGGCGCGGCGCCGGCGCGCGCCCCTCCCAGTCTCGACTACGTGGCCGCGGAGCTCATGGCCCCGGGCGAGATCTCCTTCACGTCCGACCCGCAGCTGGACCCCCGCCCCCGCGCGGCGCGCGCGCCCCGTGCGAGGCCCTCGGGGCAAGCTCCTCCCACCATCCTCTGCCTCCTCCTCCTCCTCCACCTGCTCCTCCTTCCCTGCTCCTCCTCCACCTCCCTGCTCCTCCTGCTCCTCCCTCCTCCTTCTCTCCTCCACCTGCTCCTCCTCCCTCTCCTCCCCGCACCTCCTGCTACCTCCTCTCCTCTCCTCCTCCTCCTCCTCCTCCTCCTCCCCTCTCCTCTTCATCATCTTTCTCCTTTTTCCTCTTCCCTCCCCCTCCTCCTCCTCCTCCCCCTCCTCCTCCTCCTCCTCCTCCTCCTCCTCCTCCTCGCTTCTCGACGGCGACTCGCACGGGGGTGGAGCATCAGGGGGTGGACAGACCTCCGACCCTGACACGTCGATTAAGGAATTGGCCGTTTTCGGTTCGCGAGAGGACGTCGCGGCCGTCAATTTTGCGGGTCCAGGTCCGTCGGTTTCGGTCCCAGGCCGCTTTCACTAAGGGGAGGTCCACTAAAGGGAGGCTTGTCCACCGCCGGTGCATATTTTTTTCCCGGCGGGGACATCCAGGATCGCCGAGTAAGAAGAAGAGCACGCGCGAGGCCGAAAAGGGCACGGGGAAGTGCCGATCCTCGCCGGCCGCTGAAAGCGGGTATTTTTGGATTTTAGGATTCCAATCTATTTCGGGCGCCTTCCTACTTCAATGATCGAGTGCTTTCCCCTCTTCCTTCCTCTTCAGGGGGTGGGCGGATGCTCAATCCGCTTCCAAGCGTTCCTCTTCCGTGCTTCCACCTGCTTCTTCCGACTGACGGGCATTGCTCTATAGGTCTCCTAGATGGGGTCAGCGTGGACGTGGTCGGAGGATCGCGCCGCACCGTCGATGCATCGGCGATGCGCCTCGACTTTGCAACGCTCGGAAGTGTGCATTTTTCCCGGCGAGGACCATCGAGGAGCATCCTTGATCATTTGGCGAAAGAAACACGCACGAAACCGACAAAAAACGCAGGGAATGGACGTCCGAGCGAGGGCCAGTCGATGTGGACCCCGATCTCATCCGCGCCGCCGTCGGCGATGCGTCGCCGGCGTCGCCCGGGCATATCGGCGATGCAGCGAGGAGGAGCGCGTGCCTCCGACCCCGTCCGCTCGGGACCCCAGCACGGGAGGCCTCCAACGACCCTGCCCTCGTCACCTCGGTCGCCTCGAAGTCCTGGTCTTACGTTGCACCTTCGGGGGACCTCGCCTGCCCCCAAAATACGTGTCTTTTCTGGTGCCCGACGCGGGCTCGATGCAGCTTCGACGTGGATTTGGCGTGGATTCAACGTGGAGTCGACACCGATTCGACACGGATCCGACGAGTCCGACACGGATCCGACACGGATTCGACGCGGATAGGGCCGCGGTTGGACAGACAAGGTTCCTTGAGCATGCATCCGTAGCCATTTTGGTTCAAGCACAACCGTGGTGCGCCCACAAACACACTAGATTTCCATTTCTTGCTTCACATCGACGGGAGCCCAGATGGCGATCCGCGCCTTGTGCATTATGTTGTTTGCCGACGGCATGCAGCACGCCTCGGCGAGCTCCTTGCAGGTCCAGTCCAGCAGCACGGAAGTGGTTTCCCGCGAGCAGGAGAATTGGGTGAAGGTGGCCGCCACCGACGGCGATCAGAGTCCTGGGCCATGGCATGGGTATGACTGCGTATGGGGCTCTTGTACAATGGGGTCCGTATCCTCCGGTCTGTATATGTCCGCCTTCCGAGATCAAGGGGTGCCGAGCCAGGTCAAGATTTGTTTGGACGACGGCACATGTACAGACACATTTCAGGTAGCAGCTGGAGCTACCTGGGAAAGGCCGCCTGATTGGAACTACCATAACTCTTTGTCGCTCGCTTTGGACTCTGACAATGGCGCGCCCAGCCCATGGTATTTGATAATGGCAAAGGGGGGGACCGGATTGTGCATGAATCAACGCCTGGACCGCACGTTCAACATGTTTACGTGCGACGGCGACGGAGGCCAGGGTGGCAACATGCTTGGTCTGATGGACCAATGGGCAATAGAGGATGGCCCAGTTGGCGGCGGTGGTCGATGGAGGGGATCATTTATTTCGGAAGCCTCAGGGACGCCGAAGCCCCCGAGCACCTACGCGAATCTGTATTTCCTTTACCCTCAAACGCCGACCCCAGCACCAACGCCCGCGCCGACGCCCACGCCGACGCCAGCGCCGACGCCCGCACCGACGCCCGCACCGACGCCCACGCCGACGCCAGCACCGACGCCCGCACCGACGCCAGCGCCAACGCCCGCCCAGACGAGTTCGGCAGTTGGCGATCCCCATATGCAGAACCTGCATGGCGAGCGGTTCGACCTGATGGCACCAGGCAGCCATGTTCTGATCAACATCCCTCGAGGAGAGCGCGCTGACAACGCACTGCTTCGCGTGCAGGCCGATGCGCGCCGAGTGGGTGACCATTGCTCGGATATGTACTTCCAAGACTTGAACGTGACCGGGTCTTGGGCAGAGGCAAAACAAGCCGGAGGGTATCACTACAGCGTGTCAGGAAGCGAGGTGCAGGATCCAGGGTGGGTTGCTTTTGGTAAGGTCGAGCTGAAGATCGTTCGCGGGCATACGGACGGAGACGTGCCGTATCTAAACGTGTACGTGAAACACTTAGGACGATCAGGGTTTTCCGTCGGAGGTCTTCTGGGCGAAGACGACCACAGCGACGTCAGCACGCCCACGGATGGTTGCATGGGGCTGATGAGTCTGCAGAACAAGCGCCCGCCTCAGTATAGCGGAGCTTCCTCGGCGGCCTCGACTGCGGTGGGGACGTTCGCCTAATCAACCTTGTGGAGCACGCATGAGACCATAACATCCAAGTACTTTTGATTTCTGATTGTACCTTGCCGGTAGTCTTCATCCAGTGGCGGTCGCGACTGCCCAACGCTGAGACAGATTCCGCAGTTGAAAAAAAAAGGTTCCCCGAGGATGCAACAGAACTGGTCAGGACGCACGCCAGGAGAGGTCCAGGGAGCAGCGGTACCGGTGCCTTTTCTCGACGGCGAGCCTGTAGTGGACGAAGAAACGCCAGAAACATAGGCGTTTGGCGCTCCGCGCGAAACCGACAAAAAAACGTTGTTGGCGAAAGAATCACGCACGAAACCGACAAAAAACGCAGGGAATGGACGTCCGAGCGAGGGCCAGTCGATGTGGACCCCGATCTCATCCGCGCCGCCGTCGGCGATGCGTCGCCGGCGTCGCCCGGGCATATCGGCGATGCAGCGAGGAGGAGCGCGTGCCTCCGACCCCGTCCGCTCGGGACCCCAGCACGGGAGGCCTCCAACGACCCTGCCCTCGTCACCTCGGTCGCCTCGAAGTCCTGGTCTTACGTTGCACCTTCGGGGGACCTCGCCTGCCCCCAAAATACGTGTCTTTTCTGGTGCCCGACGCGGGCTCGATGCAGCTTCGACGTGGATTTGGCGTGGATTCAACGTGGAGTCGACACCGATTCGACACGGATCCGACGAGTCCGACACGGATCCGACACGGATTCGACGCGGATAGGGCCGCGGTTGGACAGACAAGGTTCCCCGAGGATGCATCCGTAGCCATTTTGGCTCAAGCACAACCGTGGTGCGCCCACAGACACACTAGATTTCCATTGCTTGCTTCACATCGACGGGAGCCCAGATGGCGATCCGCGCCTTGTGCATTATGTTGTTTGCCGACGGCATGCAGCACGCCTCGGCGAGCTCCTTGCAGGTCCAGTCCAGCAGCACGGAAGTGGTTTCCCGCGAGCAGGAGAACTGGGTGAAGGTGGCCGCCACCGACGGCGATCAGAGTCCTGGGCCATGGCATGGGTATGACTGCGTATGGGGCTCTTGTACAATGGGGTCCGTATCCTCCGGTCTGTATATGTCCGCCTTCCGAGATCAAGGGGTGCCGAGCCAGGTCAAGATTTGTTTGGACGACGGCACATGTACAGACACATTTCAGGTAGCAGCTGGAGCTACCTGGGAAAGGCCGCCTGATTGGAACTACCATAACTCTTTGTCGCTCGCTTTGGACTCTGACAATGGCGCGCCCAGCCCATGGTATTTGATAATGGCAAAGGGGGGGGACCGGATTGTGCATGAATCAACGCCTGGACCGCACGTTCAACATGTTTACGTGCGACGGCGACGGAGGCCAGGGTGGCAACATGCTTGGTCTGATGGACCAATGGGCAATAGAGGATGGCCCAGTTGGCGGCGGTGGTCGATGGAGGGGATCATTTATTTCGGAAGCCTCAGGGACGCCGAAGCCCCCGAGCACCTACGCGAATCTGTATTTCCTTTACCCTCAAACGCCGACCCCAGCACCAACGCCCGCGCCGACGCCCACGCCGACGCCAGCGCCGACGCCCGCACCGACGCCCGCACCGACGCCCACGCCGACGCCAGCACCGACGCCCGCACCGACGCCAGCGCCAACGCCCGCCCAGACGAGTTCGGCAGTTGGCGATCCCCATATGCAGAACCTGTATGGCGAGCGGTTCGACCTGATGGCACCAGGCAGCCATGTTCTGATCAACATCCCTCGAGGAGAGCGCGCTGACAACGCACTGCTTCGCGTGCAGGCCGATGCGCGCCGAGTGGGTGACCATTGCTCGGATATGTACTTCCAAGACTTGAACGTGACCGGGTCTTGGGCAGAGGCAAAACAAGCCGGAGGGTATCACTACAGCGTGTCAGGAAGCGAGGTGCAGGATCCAGGGTGGGTTGCTTTTGGTAAGGTCGAGCTGAAGATCGTTCGCGGGCATACGGACGGAGACGTGCCGTATCTAAACGTGTACGTGAAACACTTAGGACGATCAGGGTTTTCCGTCGGAGGTCTTCTGGGCGAAGACGACCACAGCGACGTCAGCACGCCCACGGATGGTTGCATGCGGCTGATGAGTCTGCAGAACAAGCGCCCGCCTCAGTATAGCGGAGCTTCCTCGGCGGCCTCGACTGCGGTGGGGACGTTCGCCTAATCAACCTTGTGGAGCACGCATGAGACCATAACATCCAAGTACTTTTGATTTCTGATTGTACCTTGCCGGTAGGACATATTCCGCAGTTGAAAAAAAAAGGTTCCCCGAGGATGCTACAGAACTGGTCAGGACGCACGCCAGGAGAGGTCCAGGGAGCAGCGGTACCGGTGCCTTTTCTCGAGGGCGAGCCTGCAGTGGACGAAGAAACGCCAGAAACATAGGCTTTTGGCGCTCCGCGCGGATTTCTTGGATCCGCGCTGGGCCTCCCTGGCGTCGTCTCCGTCGCCGCCCCTGGCGCGCTCCGCGCGTCAGGGAGGGGGGTCCAGCGCAGATCCAAGAAGTCCGCGCGGAGCGCCACAGTTTATGTTTGTGGCGTGTGTTCTTCTGCTATGGATGGGAGGTCGGAAGGAGACGGCCTTCTCAGAAGGTGGCGGGGCTGCTCAGAAGCCCTCGGGCCTTCTCGGACGTTCTCTGTGCCTTCGGGGCAGGCTTAGAGAACGTGACAGATGGCCGGGGGACTTCGAGCCTTCTGAGAAGGCCCGCCCCCTCTCGCTCGTTCCCCCCCCCCCCCCCGGGCTGGCCGCCGATCCTCGTTTCCCCGCCCGGAGGCCCGCGGGTAATTAATCGGTGGGCCGCCAGAGGCCCCCGGCGGCCTTCGGGGGTCTCGCGGGCGCCTCCCTCCCTCCCTCTCCCTTGGGGGTTGCTAGGGGTGTCCCTGGCCCAGGGTCTTGGCATCGCTCGGACGTGTGCATTTTTTTGTCGGCGACGGCTATCGAGGACCATCCTTGATCATTTGGCGAAAATTATCCCAGCAAAGCAACCTAACAGCGATGTGTATAAGCATATCTGGCAGCATTCCCCTTTAGATTCAGGTGAGAATGCAGTTGTAGAATTCTGCTGTTCTCGCAGTCGCAGTCGCGTTCGCAATGACAGTCGCAGTGGCAACGGCCTTAGGATCCAATGGAATCCTAAGGATTCCTAGGGATTCCTAAGGCATCCTTAGGCATCCTTAGGAATCCATAGGAAACCTTAGGAATCCTTAGGAATCCTGATTCCTAGGGATTCCGAGGGATTCCTAACGATTCCTAGGGAATCCGAAGCATTCCGAAGGATTCCCCAGGATGCTTAACTATGCCTACGGATTCCTAAGGATGCCTACGGATTCCTAAGGATTCCTAGGGATTCCTAAGGATTCCTATGGATTCCTACGGGTGCCTCAGCCTGCCTCAGTTTAGGCCCGTCCAGGTTCGCCCCCCTCCCCCCGCGGCCCCTCGGGGGTGGGGCATCCTCGGGAGGTTCGGGGGCCACCTCAGAGCCATCTTGGGGCCCCATGGGGACGCCAACGATGGTCGAGCGGTCTCTCGACGGTGGCTTTGACTGGTCATTTTCACGATGGCTCTCATCTCGTGCTGCGACTTTCAGCCCGAAGCTCATTTTTCTGCGTCGCTCTTGTCTCTCTCACGTCTTAAGCCATCATCTGTTGCGCAGTTCTTCGGTGTCGCCTCTTTTGAGCTGGTGCCGTCTTGGGGATGTCTGCCCACAGGCCTTGGTGCTGGTGCCACCTCTTGTGGTTTCAGCGTGCCTGTGGCTGCGAGCGGCTTATTTGTGGATTTTTCTCGCAGCAGGTGCAGTCGGTTCCCTCGCTCACCCCCTTCTAAGGCTTGCAGTGGCGTCTGGCACTGCTGGCCCCATTTGCACTGTCTGAGGCATGACGTGGGTGGCCGAAAGATGTCCGGTCCGGGGCATCCTTCGGCGGCGAACGAGGGGGGGAAGTGAGGAGAAGGTCGTCTCAGAAGGTTCGGAAGCCCCTTGGCCTTCTGAGAAGTCTTCTGAGCCTTCTCCGTAGACGCACAGCAAAACTTCTCAGAAGGCGCGAGGGCTTCGGAGGAGTCCCGCCGCCTTTGAGAAGGCCTTCTCCTTCTCACTTTTCCCCCCCTCACTCGCGACAGGGTGAGGAGGCTCACTCTAGAGGAACTCCACGAGGAAGGCGGGTGCCCCCTACAGTCGGGACCCTGAAAGAAGGAACCCTTTTCGTTGGGGAGGGGCTCCGTGTTCCTTGATTGCTTCACAGTTTGCCTTGGGTGTTCCTTAGGTTTCCGATGGGGAATCGAAGCTTAACCTATGGAAAAAAAAGGAGCCTCGCTCCCTTTTTAGGGTTCCTTAGGTCAGCGCCCCGACTGTAGTCTTAAGTCGGGCGTGTCCCCCTACAGGGGGATTTTCGACGAAAGATAAAAAATACTCGAAACATATTCCAACATGGACAAACAGTGTTCAAAAAATATGCCCCGGACTATTTTTGGACTATTTTTGATTTTTTGTTTTTTTGTCGAAAATCCCCCTGTAGGGGGACACGCCCGACATAACTGTAGTCCTACCCCCCCCCTCTCGCTCGCCGCCGCGCCCTGCGAGGGCAAGTCCGTGATCATCGCGGACTCCTGGGAGCACATGTGCGACCGCGCCGTGGAGTACTTCAGCCTGCGCAGGCCCACTTGCCAGGTGCGCAGGGCGGGTGCCCCCTGGGTGCAGGGAACAAGTCTTAAGTCGGGCCTGTCCCCCCCTACAGGGGGATTCTCGAAGAAGAATCAAACAGACCCCGACAGTAGTAAAAAAAAACGGGTCCAAACATGGTCTGGGGATTATTGTTTGCATAATTGTTTGGCCTGTTTGGTGTATGTGTGGTGTATGCTTATTTTTTCGCCGAAAATCCCCCTGTAGGGGGACAGGCCCGACATGAAGTAAGTCGGGCCTGCCTCAGGAGGAATGTTCAAGAATAGTCAGAACATTGTCAGGGGCCGGTTTTTTCTGTTATATTCGGGTTATGTGTGAGCACTTGTTTTTTGTTCCTCACATCCTAATAACGGGGTTATTGTTGTGACTCTTAGACCGCGCGGAACACAGGAACACAGGAAGCAAGGAAGGAACACATTTCCCACCCTGAGGTTATCATTCTCTGACCCACTCATATTCAGACTCACTCATTCTCAGATGCACTCGCCCGGAGATGAATGATACTTAGGTTTCTCATGCTCGGGATCATTCATATCATCATCCTTCTCTTTCAGAGCAGTTTCCGAGGATATGTCTCAGGCGAGGCGCTGGTTTCAGCAATCCCCAGGGGGGGCGCCAGGGGGTATCTCACGGGCTCGTTCGTGCCCAGATAGGGGGGATGTCTCAGGCGGTTTGCCTGTTTCAGTGCTCAACATCCTTCTCTTTCGGAGCAGTTTCCGAGGATGTCTCAGGCGAGGCGCTGGGTTCAGCACTCCCAGGGACGGGCGCCAGGGGGTATCTCACAAGCCCGTTCGCGCCCAGATTGGGGGGAAGTCTCAGGCGGTTTGCCTGTTCGGGTGCTCAGCATCCTGCTCTTTCGGAGAAGTTTCCGAGGATGCCTCAGACGAGGCGCTGGTTTCAGCACTCCAAAAGGGGGGCAGCCAGGGGGTATCTCATAAGCCCGTTTGCGCCCAGATTGGGGGGATGTCTCAGGCGGTTTACCTGTTTGGGTGCTCAACATCCTTCTCTTTCGGAGCAGTTTCCGAGGATGTCTCAGGCGAGGCGCTGGGTTCAGCACTCCCAAGGGGGGCCGCCAGGGGGTATCTCACGGGCCCGTTCGTGCCCAGATTTGGGGGATGTCTCAGCCGGTTTACCTGTTTGGGTGCTCAACGTCCTTCTCTTCCGGAGCAGTTTCCGAGGATGTTTCAGGCGAGGCGCTGGTTTCAGCACTCCCAGGGGGCGGGGCTCCAGGGGGTACCTCACGGGCCCGTTCGCGCCCAGATTGGGGTCGGTTTGCTTGTTTGGGTGCTCAATATCCTTCTCTTTCGGCGCAGTTTTCAAGGCCCTGATTTGTGTTCAGAGGGAAAGAAGGAGACAGAGGAGGAGGACAATGAGGAGGAGGAGAAGGAAGAGGAGGAGGAACGAAGGCGGAAGCAACTAGTGAAAATTGTCGTAGTCGTCGGCGTCTCTCTCGGCTTCGTCTTCCACACGAACTCGCTGACACCCAGATGCCGAAGAACAGGACAAGGCCTTCTACCGAAGCGTGCCATCATTGTGAGGTGCGCACATCTGGGGATCTCCGCGTCGAGCTGTTCTGGACTTCCAAAACCAGAAACCATCCGCCTGTAGGAGGACATTCAGGAGGGGAAAAAAAACAGACACAATTAATCGTCGACCCCCAGGAAAATATGGGAAAATATGGGAAGTGGGGGGGAAGACAGAAACCCAGAAAGAATTCGAAAATATGGGGAATCGGGTTATTTGTTTGTACTTATTTGTGTGTCCCTGGGGCCCCTTCAGACATGCCCGACCTCGTGCAGGAGAGGAGCGACATGCGGGGTCGGCGTTCGGATGTCCACGCCCGGGCAGCCGCTCCCGGCGCGAGGGCCGCGAGGCGGCAGAGGCGCCGGGGTGGGCGCGGGGCCTGGGCCCGCCTTTCCCTCGTCGGGCGTGCGCCTTCTCTCCTTCGGCGAGGGCCTTCGAGGAGCATCGTGGATCATCGAGCATTACCAGTTTGAAACATATCCCGATCCCTATGTTTGACATCACCTCACCCCTCGATGCCGATCTTAAGGATTCCCTCAGTTTCTGAGGGCCTAACCCTAAGATTGTCATCGCTTCTTGCTCGCCCATCTTAGGAATAGGGATACGTTCGAGTCTGGTTACAGCAACAAGAGCACACGCGCGAAGACGAAACGTGCACAGGGGAATTCCCCACGGACGCCCGAGCGATGGTGAGCGGAGCCCGGGGGGCGAAGCGTTCGTCCGTGCTTGTCGCCCAGGCGCCCGTTCTTGTGCCTGCTGGGGAGGGTACCCTTGGATGTGCTGTGCGTGTTGGCCGTCGGAGGGTCTCGTGTTTTGGAGGGATGTTCTTCTGGCCTAGGTCCGACTATATGGCATGCAGTTCCCTCGTCGCTGACTTGAGAGGAGGGTCTGAGAAGGCACTCCGGGAGTCCGTCGTCGGCAAGGTCGAAAGAGCCCCTTCGTTGCTGCGCTGAAAGCAATGGGCTCTCCTCTCTTCTCCCACTCCTTTTTCCTCCTCGCCCCCGCCCTCCTCGTCCCCCCCTTCCCTTCCCCTCTCAAGCCAACGGCGTCACCTGGAATACCCCAAGTGCACGCTATCGCGTTGCCCAATGGTTTACCCGACCTTGGGTGTCAACCGCGATGGACGTTCGCGTCCACCGTGCTCTACAACTCTGTGCTAACGGGGTAACGGCGCCCCAAAACCTGGTTACGTCAAGTCCTCCCCTCCATGCTTCTCATCCTCATCCCTCCTCCCCCCCTGCTCTCCCCCCTTCTTCTGCCTCTCCTCCTCCTCGTCCTCCTCCTCCCCCTCCTCCTACTTCCTCTCCTGCTCCCTCTCCTTCCTCTCTCCCTCCCTCCCTCCCTTCCCCTCTCCGCCTCCTCCTCGTCCTCCTCCACCTCCTCTCTCTCTCTCTCTCTCTCTCTTTCTCTCTCTTTCTCTTTTTTATGTTTTTTTTTTTTTCTCTCTCTCTCTCTCTCTCTCTCTCTCTCATAATCAGCAGCATCATCAGAATCATGATCATCATCATCATCATGATCATTATCGTCATCAGCATCCTAATCATCATCATCATCATCATCATCATCATCATCATCATCATCATCATCATCATCATCATCGTCACCATCACCATCAGCCTCATCGTCATCAGCAGCCGCATCAGCATCATCATCATCATGATTCATCGCGATCATCATCCACAACATCGTCATCATCATCATCAGCAGCATCCCATGGCAAGCGAAAGACTGTTGGGCACGCCGAGGTGCGCGCGCACCGCTGGTCAAGCATGATGAACGGGTAGGGGAGGGCTCCTCGTCCACGTACGCGCAGGCCATGTGCAACCTCTTCTCCAACAAGAAGTCCGCCTCGGGGGGAGGGAGGGTCGAGGAGGAGGAGGAGGAGGAGGAGGATCGGTGGTCGAGAGGGGCGAGGAGGACATCGTGGATGATCAAGGGTCGAAGAGGTTCGAGGAGGTTCGAGGATATCGACGGGCGGGGACATCGAGAAAACCGAGGGCCGAGGGGGCTCGAGGATGTCGAGGAGGAGGACGAGGATCGTGGAGGGCTGCGTCGGAACGACACTTCAGCCAACAGGTAACCAGAGGATCGAGGCTTTCGGGCCCTTCTGGCCTGGTTGGGCCCCCTCCAGGCGTACAGGGACTCCCTAATGCCTTCAGAGACCTCCAGCGGCATGGTTTTCGGTGTCACTCCCAGCGCTGTTCCCACATCAGGTTCGGGCATACGCTGGGGCTTGGCGGAAAAACGGCACGGCGTGCTTTCCCTCGATTGGGTCATCCCGAGGCCCGTGTGTGGCCCTGGGGTCAGGGTAAAATTGTTCAACTTTAGGTGCATCATCAGAGTGAGGGGGCCGAACGGTCATTCATTGTCTCTGGGTGCGTGACTGCATAGGGAAATCGTGGCGAGACTTCTGCTTTTATGTTGTTGTTGTTGGTGGTGGTGGTGGTGATGGTTGTGGTGGTGTTGGTGTTGGTGTTGGTGTTGGTGTTGTTGTTGTTGCCGTTGTTGTTGTCGTTGCTGTTGTTGTTGTTGCTGTTGCTGTTGCTGTTGCTGTTGCTGTTGTTGTTATCGTCGTTTGTTGTCGTCGTCGTCCCGCCCGCGACCCACTCTCGACCCACCCCGCAACCCACCCCGCGACCCACCCCGCGACCCACCTCGCGACCCACCCGCGACCCACCCGCGACCCCACCCGCGACCCACTCGCGACCCACCTACGACCCATCCGCGACCCACTCGCGACCCACCTGCGACCCATCCGCGACCCACCCGCGACCCACACCACGACCCACCCTCAAGGGAAGAAAAACGACCCCGATCCGACAATTGACCTTTACTATACGGCCCTGCGCGTCTACCAAACAGCCTTGCCCTGTTCGATTCAGTCCTTGTGTGCGTTTACTAAAAGGCTTCGCTTGTCGCAGTGATTATTACGGGGTGGCTTTTCTGCTCTGTACACCCGCGACCCAACAGCGACCCACCCGCGAACCAACAACGACCCACCCGCGACCCATTTCCCGCGACCTACCAACATTGGGTTAACGAAAAAAACGTTGCATAATTTGTGAAACATTGACGCTTGCGGCGTGCTTCTCCAGAGTCTCGCAACCTGCCGACGTCTCCACCGCCCCCTCACTCTTATCCGCATCTGCGGGGTGCTACGTACTTCTGTCGCCTGCCCATTGCCAACCGTCTGAGAGGAACTTGGTCTACAGCCATTGAAGAATTTGCCGAGGCTTGATAGACCAGTGGTTCAAAGGACCTGAAAGAGTTCTGCCAGGATTCCGAGTGAGGCATGGGATGATTATGAGAGCGTTCTGAGATGGCCCCGAAGGGACTCTGAGTGGCGTCCGAGAACGTATGAGAAAATTCTGACCAGATCTTGAGAGGATTCAGAAAGGCCATTCTGGAGGATTTTGGGCGAATTCTGCGTGACACCTGAAAGGATTCTGACACGAGCCTGAAAGAATTTTGAAAGGATTCCGCGAGGATTCTGAAAGGGCGTTTCCGTGTTCAGACTGCCAGTTTGGGCGTCTCCGTGCTAAGGTCGTCGATTCCGGGCGTTTCCGTGTTCAGGATGTGGATTCGGACGTTTCCGTGCTAAGATTGTCAGTTCGGGCGTCTTTGTGTTCAGATTGCCGACTTGGGCGCCTCCGTGATCAGGTCGTCGATTGGGGCGTCTCCGTGCTGAGGTTGTCGATTCGGGCGCGTTTGGTCCGATTGCCGAGTTGGGCGATTCCGTGGGCAGGTCGTCAATTAGGGCGTATCCGTGCTAAGAGTGCCGGTTCGGGCGTTTCTGTGGTCAGACTATCATTTCGGACGATTCGCGCTCAGAATGCCGATTCGGGCGTTTCCGTGTTTAGATTCTCGATTCGGCGTCAGAATGTCGATTCGGGCGTTCCCGTGCTCGGATTGCCTATTCGAGCGTTTCCGCGCTATCCACGATCGTCGATTCAGCCGTCTCCGTGTTTCGATTTTCGATTCGGGCGTCTCCGTGCTCGAATTGCCGATTCGGGCGTCGTCGTGCCCAGAATGCGGGTTCGGGCGTTTCCGTGTTGAGATTGTCGATTCGGGCGCCTCCGTGCCAAGATTGCCGATTCGGGCGCTTCAGTGCTAAGACCTGGTTCGGGCGTTTCTTTGCTCAGATTGCCGATTCGCGCGTGTCAGTGGTCAGATTGTCGATTCGGGCGTTCACGTGGTCTGATTGCCGATTGCATTTCCGTGGTCGGATTGTCGATTCGGGCGTTTTCGTGCTAGGGTTTGCCGATTCGGGCGTCTCTGATTGCCAATTCGGGCGTTTCCGTGTTCAGGTTGCCTATTCGGGCGTTTCCGCGCTCAGATTGTCCGTTCGGTCGTTTCCGAGTTTACATTGTTGATTCGAGCACATGTTTGTTCATATTGTCGTTTCTTGGCCGCGTGGGCGCTCATATCGTACAGCGGTTTGTAGGGGTGTTCGAAACCATGCCAGGGAAATGTTAAACATGTGATTCCGTTTGTGGAGGGGTGGCGGGATTTCTGCGACCAGGCCACAATTCTTCCGCGAGAACGGCAATTTTTTCCGGGATGCAGCAATAATCATCACAATAGGCATATGTTGGGATGTCAAGTGGTTGTGAATCAACAAGACAGGCGATGGTGAAGCAGCATAAGAAAACGACGTTGGAGGTTTTGGGAGGACGAGGCACGACGGGAGATTTTCGGGGACAGCGGGCTGGCCATTATGCGGGGCCGTTGGGAACTTCCAGAGAATTCCGAAGCACCCGGATTTCCCGAGAACCGCTTTCGGCTTGCACCCACTGGTTGTTGTCAGAGAGCGATCCAAAACGGAAAAGCGGCCTCGGGGAAGGGTTTGGCAGTTGTGGGCCCCGCAAGTGTTCAACAAGCAGCACACTGGTTGAGGTTTGGGGAGGAGGCGAGTGGGGGATGAGCAGAAGGAGGAGGAGGAGGAGGAAAAGAAGGAGGAGCAGGAGGAGAAGGAGGAACATGACGACGGAGTGATTATCCAGAGCGCCGAGCGAGACCTACACCGCTGGAGCTTCTGACCGTCCTGGGGAGAGGGGGAGCGGCAGGTTCCGCGACGGCGAGATCGCTTCCAATGAGACGTTCAAGTACCTGGACATCCCCGAGCACCCGACCCGTGGCATCCTGAACATCTTGGAGGATGGTTGCTCCCCTGCACCTCCTCGTCTTGCTCCCTCCTGCCATCCCCCCCCCCGTATTCTTTCTCCTGCGCGTCCTTTTCGTCCTCGTTCGTTCGCCCCTCCCTTGTCCGTCTGGGATATACGTGCTGAATGGCACGCGAGCAGCGCGAGAAGGTAAGAGTTTATAGTCTTAGCATGATTGTTATGATTGGGTGTGTTGTTGATCCCCCTGGTGCACTTTGTGTTGTTCATGTAAAGTGTTCCGCCTTGGGTTCGCAATTTTTTTACCCTGGGAAGTATTGCGGTTCAGATTCGGCTGTTGGCCCCCGAACTACAAGAACGACAACAACAACAACGGTTCCCGAGAGATATGTCCGAACAGTTTATTTCAAAATCGCGTTGCCGCGCTGGACTTCTTCATGATGTATGTAGAAATCGCATTTTCGCGTGGCATGTCCTTGCAATTGATTGCGGTGCGGTGCCCCCCTAGACTCAGGAATCACGCTCCCGCTTTAGATGTTCTCCGGATGTATTTGGGAATCGCGCGATCGTTCGAAACATCCTTGAGATGCATGTTCGATTCACGCTTCAGCGACCCGCCCGCTCGACCCCCGGCCGTCTGGGTCCGCCCGCCCGACTTGCCCGCTAGGGTCCGCCCGCCCGAGCCGCCCGTTTGGTATTGCCGCTTGTACTCCTGCTCCTAATCCTCCTGCACATCTCTCTCGTGCTGCATTCTTCTCACTTCCCCTTGTGTCTTCCCTCCTTTCCTTCCCCTGTTTTAGCGCTGCGCCAACTACACGCGGCAGCTAGGGAAGATATGCCCCCAAGGGGCGCGCGATCGAAGACGAAAAAGGCGAATATCGACGGCCTGAATGACACGCGAGCAGATAAGAACGAACACACTTAAAATGAGTGTGGTGATTGTTGTTGTTGTGCTTTGAACTCTCACTTCTGAAGAATATTTACTGTTGACCCACCCACTCTGGCGCACACTGTATTGTTCCGATTGAACTGCCCTTCCCGGGGCCCGCGCCTTGTTTTTTTTTCATCAGGGGAAGCCTTGAAGGTCGAACTGCCCCCGCTGGCCCCCGGACTACAACAACAGCGACTTCCGCCTGATATGTCTTCGCAGGTCATTCCAAACTCGCGCTCTCGACCGGGATTTCCTGACAACTTCTGCAGGAATCGCGCTCTCGCGTGGGACTTCTTGTAGTTTATTCCGACTCCGCGCCCTCGACACTCCAGAATCATGACTTGGGAATCGCGCTGTTGCTCGAGACCTCGCGATCCATGCAGGACTGACGATTTCGCATCCCGCCTGCTCGACCTGGCCGCCTGGGCCCGCCTTCCCGACCCGCCCGCTGGGGTCTGCCCACCCGATCTGCCGGTCTGGTTTTGCCACGGGCTTTCTGCTCCTAGCCCCCCCCCTCCTGCTAAATTGTCTCGTGCTCCGTCCTCCTCGCTCCCCCTTCCAAGCGTCCTCTCTTCCGCTGTTTTGGGGTGCGCTAAATGCACCTAGCAGGTAAGGAAGATAGGCCCCGAAGGGGGACACGATCGAAGACGAAGAGGGCGGGTTGGTTCTTAGGGTTTGGGAAACACGTGTTGAGTGGCACGCGAGCAGATAGGAACTAAGAGCCTTAAACTGATTGTAGTAGTTGCTGTTTATTGCATTTTCATTATAAAAGAAGAATATTGTCTTTACCCTCAGCGACCAGTGCATGTTTGATTAAAGTGATCCTCCCGGGGATCACACCTTGCTTTTTGTTCAGGCAAGTCTGTGGTAACCAAGCTGCGCCCCTGGCCCCTGGTTTACAACAGCAGCGGCTCCCGCCTGATACGTCTTCACCATGTATGTCAAAATCGCGCTCTCGAGTTGTACTTCTCGACAATGTATTGCGGCGCCGTGCCCCAAATGTTCACATAATCACACTCTCACTTTGGATATCTTAACGATTTACTTGGGAATAGCGTTACCGTTCGCATCTTCTTGCATGATGGGTTGACGCTTTAGCGACCTGCCCGCTCGACCTGGCCGTCTGGGCCCACCCACCCGCTAGAGCGTGATTCTTGAGTGTCGAGCGCGCGGCGTCTGAATATGTTGCGACAAGTCTCACGCGAGAGCGCGCTTTCTGCGTGAATTGTGATGAAGTCCCGCACGAGAAGGCGATGTTGGAATACATTGCGAGGAAGTGTTGGGCGGGAACCGTTGTGTTGTTGTTGTTGGTGGTGGTGGCGGTGGTGGTGTTGTGGTTGGTGTGGTTGTTGTTGTTGATCGTATGTTTGTTTCCGTTGTCGTATGCTTAGTTATTAGTTTGGCTTCTTCTTGTTGTTGTTGGTGGTGTTGCAATTCGGGGCACAACGACACAGTTTGAGCATTGATGTCCTCTTTGGTAGAAAAACAGGGTGCGAGCCCCAAGAGGGGCGCTTCAATTGGGGAATGCAATGTGCACCATGGATAGGGGGATCAACAGTCGTCATGCTTCAAGAACGCGAGCTCGACAGCAACGCAACAACAATCCGCACCGCGGAAACCCACTTCAGCCACGCACCCAGGGACAGTGAACGACTGTTCGGCCCCCTGACTCTGATAATGCAGCTACATAATATCTACATAAGTGCCGCCGATTCTCGCTGGACGTTTTCCACCTCTGAGCTGGTTCCCCCACTGGCCTTGCCCTTCCGATGTCCGAATGCCCCGACGCCTCCGCTGCGGCCGAGGACCAGGTGTCGCCCGTGTTGGTCAGGGGCTACCGCCCCGGCGAGGGCATCGATAAAGACCGCTTCCCGACCCCGACCGTTTCCGCGAGGACAGCCTGCCAGCGTCGGCTTCGGTTTCGACCGCCGTCGTCGTCGTCGCCGCGGTCGTCGTCGTCGCCGCGGTCGTCGTCGTCGCCGCGGGCGTCGTCGTCGTCGCGGTCGTTGTGGGCGTCGCCGCCGCCGCCGCCGCGGCCGCCGCCACCGTCGCCGCCGCCGCCGCCGCCGTCGTCGTCGTCGTCGTCGTCGTTGTCGTCGCCGCGGTCGTCGTGGGCGTCGTCGTCGCTTCTGGCGCCCTCCGTCGCGATTGTGGCCGTGGCTGCCGTCCTCATCGTCTCCTCGCCCCCGACACCGCCCTGGCGCGGGGCCGAGCGGAGCGGGTCTCTTTCTTTGCCGCGGCGGCCAGGGCGGGCCCTTGAGGACCCCGAGAGGGTCGCAGGAGGAGCACAAGACAGCCCCAGAGGTCCCCCAAGAGAACCCACAGAGGGCTCCAGGCCGTCCCGAATCCCCGATAAAGGCCGACAAGGGGAGCATCCTTGGTGCCAAAACGGCCCCCAAGAGGCTCCCGAGAAGAGGGTGTGAAGGGCTGGCGGCGCGCAAAGGGGGGGGTGCGCGAGGGGGGAGGGGGGATTTTTCCTAAGCAGGCGCGGGGGGGCTCCTTAAAAGACGGGGCTCGCTGCCCCGCGCCGCCAGGTGCGATCGAGGCGCGTGCGGAACGAGCGTGGACGGAGGCCGACGAGCAGTGCGCCGTCGGGGCCGCCACGGGCGCTGTCCGTCCGGGTCACGCGCTGCCTGCTCTGCGGCGGCCGCCGGTGGCTTTGGGCAGCACGCCCGCTGCGGGGCATCGGGCCCGTTCTCGGCAGCTCGCCGGCGGGGCCGCCGTTCGGGGCGGCGGCCGTTCGGGGCGGGGCGTCGCCCGCTCGGCAGCGGCGGCCGGCGGCCCCGGGGCAAGACCACCCAGAGCCCTCCGCGGCCGCTGTCGAGCAGGCTCGTGGCCTCCTCGCCATCCACACGGGTGGCCCCGCTGCGGCTCTTTTGGTGCTGCCCCGCGGCGTCGACGTCTTCCGAGGCTCCGCTGCGGCCTGGGCCATCCTGCAGGGCGCCCAGCATGATGGCCGCGCGGCTGTGGTGGAGCTGCCCTGCGGCTGTCCCTGGGCTGTTTGGGGGGCCTCTCTCCCTGGGGGGGTGGGCATGTTCTGGAGCCGCCGGACGTCAGAGATTCCCGAATGATCCTCACCCGATCCTGTCCTCGTCGTGGCTTCGCCTTTGGCCTCCTTCTCTCGGGGGCGGAAAAGAGGGGGGTGATGACTAGGGGGGGTGGATATCATGGCGAGGGCCATGATATTTCCCCAGATTTCATGGCGCCTCTTCTTATTTCATTACGTCCCTGGCCCCCCCGCTGGGCCGCGCACATGCCGCCGGTCATGATTTGCACCCCCCCTCTTGGACACCCCCCTCTTGGCCGCTCCCGATTCTCCAGAGGATGGGGTCGCCTCGACGGGCGCAAGCCGCGGCCTCTGCATGGGCGGCACGCTCGCCGTGGGGCATCGCGCCCGTTCCATCCGCGCCCGCTTCGGGCGCGGCGAGCGGCGGCACAGGACTCGAGGAGAACTTACGACAGATCTCCCCCTCCTCCTCCTCTTCCTGCTCCTCCTGATCCTCCTCCTCCTCCTCCTCCTCCTCCTCCTCTTCCTCCTCCTTTTCCTCCTCCTCCTCATCCTCTTCCTCCTCCTCCTCCTCCTCCTTTTCCTTCTCCTCCTCCTCCTCCTCCTCCTCCTTCTCCTGTCTAGCGATCCCATGGCTGCTTCGAGCACCTTGCCACTGGCAGTGTTCGATGGGGTGTCCTTGTGCCCTGCTCCATTGGTGGCGGGCCAAAGCCAAAGCCATAGTACGACCAGTGCCCTACGCTCGCAAAGTTCCTCCACATACCTAGTCCTGGGAGGTTTCGCAGAACATACCTAGTCCTGGGAGGTCGTTCCACGTTCTTGGGGGGGAGAGGGGGAGCGTAGTAGACGCGAATTTGGGCGAATGTATGGCGTAGATGTTGCGTCATTCCGCAACCTGCTTCCTCCTCCGCGTTTCCTCCTCATCGTCGTCGTCCTTCTCATTCCTTGTGGCAAGCGACCAGGATCGAGACTCTCCACAAGGAGTTGATGGACAACCAGGTCTGTTGGGGAATGAATCACATGCGTTGGAGTGGTTCTCGTTTACTCGTGCATGTCCTCCGCTACCATGCGACGCTTTGGCCCACCGTCTTGGCAAGATGCGGTCGAGCGGTTGGATGTCGGACACGAAGTGGAGGACGACGACGAGGAGCATCATCAGCAGATCAGCTGCAGCAGGCAGGGCTGCTTGATGTCTGATCCGATCCGAACCGATTCACAAACGTCGACTCCGATTCTGATCTGATCCGATGAGACACGAATCGATCCCCTCTCCAGTCCACAGGCGCGATCCGATCTGCCTGCGATCCGACCCGATTGCGTGGTGCGATCCTACCTGGGACTGGCAGGGCACAGGGGGAAGAGGAGGAGAGAGAGCTCTCTCCTCCTCCTCCTCCTCCTCCTCCTCCTCCTCCTCCTCCCCTCCTCCTCCTCCTTCCTCCTCCTCATCATCATCATCATCATCATCATCATCATCATCATCATCATCATCATCATCATCATCATCATCATCAGCATCAGCATCAGCATCAGCATCAGCATCAGCATCATCACATCATCATCATCAGCATCATCAGCACCATCAGCATCATCATCCTCATCCTCATCCGCATCCTCATCCTTCTTCTCCTCCTCCTCCTCCTCTCCTCCTCCTCCTCCTTCCCCTCCTCCTCCTCCCCTTCCTCCCCCCCCTTCTCCCCCCCCCCCCTCCTCCTCCTCCTCCTCCTCCTCCTCCTCCTCCTCCTCCTCCTCCTCCTCCTCCTCCTCCTCCTCCTCCTCTCCTCCTCCTCCTCCTCCTCCTCCTCCTCCTCCTCCTCCTCCTCCTCCTCCTCCTCCTCCTCCTCCCCCCCTTCCCCTCCTCCTCCTCCCCCTCCCCTCTCCTCCTCCTCTCCTCCTCCTCCTCCTCCTCCTCCTCCTCCCTCCTCCTCCTCCTCTTTCTGCCCCCCCCCCCCCCCCTGTCCCGAGCACAGGGGCAGCGAGCGGGAGGACGGGGGCAGAGCGGCGGAGGAAGTGCTCGGGAGGCGGGCCCCTTCGAGACGGCACTGGCCCTCCCCGGCGTTTTGACGCTCCTCCGGGGCGTCTCCTGGAGGCGTCTCGCCGCGACGGCGGAGTCCGCCTCGGGAAAGACGGAGGGGGAGGAGGAGGAGGAGGAGGAGGAGGAGGAGGAGGAGGAGGAGGAGGAGGAGGAGGAGCAGGAGCAGGAGGAGGAGGAGGAGGACGAGGAGGAGCAGGAGGGGGAGGAGGAGGAGGAGAAGGAGGGGAAGGAGGAGGAGGAGGAGGAGGAGGAGGAAGAGGATGAGGAGGAGGAGTAGGGTGAGGAGCAGGGGGGGGCGACGGCCGGATGAGAGCTTGCGCGGTGCTTTTGCGTCGCCGCCGCGCATGACCATGCAGAGCGGCGCCCTGGCGCCCGGCTGCAGTGCCCCCGCGGCACATCGACTCTTGCAGGCCGGGTGTGAGAGTTGGACGGGGCCAGGACGAGGAGAAGTCCGTGCCAGAGCGTTCCGGAACGCTCTCAGAGCGTTCCAGAATCGGGTGTTGCTAGAGGTGCCGCTGACCCAAGGTGCCCCCGGGATTCGCACGGAAGTCCCCCCCAGCTTCCAGAGCACCCCTCACGAGGCCCAGGCAGCCCCAGGGCCTCCAACATGGAGCGAAAAGTTTGGGGCACTTCTGGCCAGGGGCATTTCTAACAACACCCGACAGAACGCGAACGTTCCAGCCGAGATTCTCCAGAGCCGCTGGATCTCAGAAATTTTCGATTGTGAAGGCCTAACAGCCAGTGCCGCCGACCTTGAAAGACATCGATGACGACTAGGAGGGGGAGGAGGAGGAGAAGGAGGAGGAGGAGGAGGAGGAGGAGGAGGAGGAGGTGGAGGCGGAGATAAGGAGGAGGAGGAGGAGGAGGAGAAGGAGGAGGAAAAGGACTCCCCCCCATCTTGGAAGCCTCTTGGGCGATCTTTGGGCGATCTTCGGGTGCTCTTGGGCCGTCTCGGGCCGTCGGAAGGCCGAAAAGAAGCAAATGTCAAAATCCAATGGAAAATCAATGTTTTTGGCCTTTTCTGGATTTCCTGGAGGCCCTCTTGGAGGCCTCTTGGGCCAGCTTCGAGCCAACTTCGGTCATCTTGGTGGATTCCTGGCCCGTCTGACGCTGTCGGGAGCCGTCTTGGGGGCCTCTCTGAACCGACTTGGGGTTCTCTTGGGGCGCTTCGGGGCCGTCTTGGAGGCCATCTTGGGCGTGTTGGAGGTCTCTTGGGCCGTCTTTGGGCCCTCTTGGAGACCTCGTTGACGATTTGGGGCGATCTTGGCGGCCTCTCGGGCCGTCTTGAGCCGTCGGAATACCGAGAAGAGGCAAATGCCAAAATCCTTCAAAACCCCAGGGCAAATCGATGATTTGGGCCTCTTCGGGCCCTCCTGGAGGACCTCTTCGAGACCTCTTGGGCCGTCTTGGAGGCTTCTTGGGTGAACTTGGAGGCATCTTGGACCCTCATGGGCCGTCTTGGAGGCCATCTTGGACGGACTTGGAGGCCATCTTGGGCGAGCTTGAGGGCCATCTTGGCCGTCTTGGAGGCCATCTTGAGCCGTCTTGGAGAGTTTGTTGTGGACGTTGAGGTCGTTTGCGGGCCTGGAGCTCCCTCCCGGGACCCCGGCGGGACGGGCCAAAACGCCAGGGGGAGTTCTTTTGGAAAAAACCCAAACCCAAACCGTAAAAAGTCCAGCACGTCAGGCACCCCTGTGATGAATAAACAAGGGGCGGCGGATCGAAGACGCCTACTGCGAATCACCGCCGCTCCTTGCCTTTTTGGAAGCGCTGGCGAACGTTGTGGCCAGAGGCCTGCCAATCTTTCGGACCATGTGTTCCCCAAATCGGTTTGGAAAGCGTTCGGGGAACACGGTGGGCGAGGCTGGGCCGACTTGGGCCTTTCTTGGGGTGCTCCAGGGCCGTCTTGGAGGCCATCTTGAGCGTCTTGGAGGCCTCTTGGGCCGTCTTGGGGGCCTCTTGGGACCGTCTTGAAGGCCTTTCGGGCCGTTGTGGGGCCATGCTGGAGACCTCTTTGGCGATCTTTGAGGGCTCTTGGGCTATCTCGGGCAGTCGGAAGGCCGAAAAGAAGCAAATGTCAAAATCCTTCGCAAACCTACGGGAAACACATGTTTTTGGCCTTGTCCGGCCTTCCTGGAGGCCCTCTTGGAGGCCTCTTGGGCCGTCTTGGGCCATCTTAGGGCCATCTTCGGCCGTCTTGGTGGGCTCCTGGCCCGTCTGATGCCGTCGGAAGCCGCTTGGGGGGCCTCCCTGGGCCGACTTGGGGCCCTCTTGGAATGCTCCAGGGCCGTCTTGGAGAGCGTCTTGGAGGCCTCTTGGGCCGTCTTGGCGGCCTCTTGGGGCCGTCTTGAAGGCCTTTTGGGCCGTTTTGGGGCCATATTGGAGACCTCTTGGGCGATCTTTTGGGGCTCTCGGAAGGCCGAAAAGACGCAAATGTCAAAATCCTTCGAACACCACACCTACGGACAATCAATGTTTTTCGCCTTGTCGGGCCTTCTTGGAGGCCCTCTTGGAGGCCTCCTGGGCCGTCTTGGGCCATCTTAGGGCCATCTTCGGCCGTCTTGGTGGGCTCCTGGCCCGTCTGATGCCGTCGGAAGCCGCTTGGGGGGGCCTCCCTGGGCCGACTTGGGGCCGCCCTCTTGAAATGCTCCAGGGCCGTCTTGGAGGCCATCTTGGGCGTCTTACAGGCCTCCTGGGCTGTCTTGGGGGCCTCTCGGGGCCGTCTTGGTGGCCTCTTGGGCCGTTCTGGGGCCATCTTGGAGGCCTGTTGGGCGATCTTTGGGGGCTCTTGGGCCGTCTCGGGCCGTCGGAAGGCCGAAACGAAGCAAATGTCAACATCATTCAAACACCTATGGAAAATACATGTTTTGGGCCTCTTCTGGCCATTCTGGAGGCCCTCTGGGAGGCCTCTTGGGCCGTCTTGGGTCAGCTTCGAGCCAACTTCGGCCATCTTGGTGGGCTCCTGGCCCGTCTGACGCCGTCGGAAGCCATTTGGTGGGCCTCTTTGGGCCGACTTGGGGCCCTCCTGGGGTGCCCCAGGGCCGTCTTGGCGGGCCATCTTGGGCGCCTTGGAGGCCTCTTGGCCAATGTTGGGGCCCTCTTGGGGCCGTCTTGGGGGCTTCTTGGGCCGTCTCGGGCCATCTTGTAGACCTGGTCGGCGATCTGGGCGGCCTCTTGGGCTGCCTTGAGCCGTCGGAATGCCGAGAAGAGGCAACTGCCAAACTCCTTCAAAAACCGAAGGCAAACCACTGATTTTTGCCTGGTCGGGCCCTCCTGGAGGACCTCTTGGAGGCCTCTTGGGCCGTCTTGGAAGCCTCTGAGAGCCCTCTGAGAGCCCTCTTCGACCGTCTTGGGCCATCTTGAGGCTATCCTAAGCTGCCTTTGAGGCCATCTTGGAGGTCTCGGAGCAACTTGGAGGCCATCCTGGGACGCCGTCTTGGTGGCCATCTTGGGCCATCTTGGGGCAAGAAAGGCGACGACAGGCGGGTTTTCCGGGTGGCTGGCGGGATGGGCCGAAGCCCCAGGGGGAGTTCTTTTGGAAAAAGAGCCCAAACCAAAAGCCATATCGTCCGGCACGCCAGGCACCCCTTAGATAAATCAAAAGGGGGCGGCGGATCGAAGACGCCTACGGCGAATCACCGCCGCCCCCTGCCTTTTTGGAAGCGCCTATGTGGCCAACCAAAGGTTGTGGCCAGATGCCTGCCATGCTATCGGACCATGTGTTCCCCGAATCGGTTTGGAAAGCCTTCGGGAAACACGTGGGCATCTTGAAGGTCATCTTGGCCGTCTGGAGGCCATTCTGACCCTGTCGGGCCTTCTTGGAGGACGTCTTGAAGGCCTCCTGTGCCGTCTTGGGGGCCTCTCGGGGCCGTCTTGGGGGCTCTTGGGCCGTCTCGGGCCGTCGGAAGGCCGAAAAGAAGCAAATGTCAAAATCCGTCAAATACCTCAGGAACATCAATGTTTTTGG